CGAGCGAATGCTTACATATCCAAACTAAATAGAAATGTATGACAGTTGCGTGACAATTTAACAAAGATAAGTGTTTTATAGATACGCGCACATTAAAGGTTTTATTTTCAGTAGAAGATTTTCTCTAAAGTTGGAATAGAGAATTTGTTTTCCTTAATTACCGCGATTGTAGCAATATCGATACAATAAACCGCGACGCGAAGAAGTGTGTTTTACGATCGTCTTAACGCCATTTTAATTCCACGACGCGAATCCTTTAAATTATTGTCGCACGTGCGTATGCATATTCGTACATTTATACATTCGTATGCATCGTTTGAGAGAAGAATTTACACGATGCGGCTTTAAATCCGCATATGCAGTTGTATACCGGTTAAACACGTACAGACATGCAAGCGCGGCTATTTTCACGCCCGTAAAAAAAAACTCTTCCACTCTTACTCGATGTTTATTTACAACGTTAGTTGGCGCAAAACGTTGCCCTCTGACATTCCACGAAGAAATCGAGATTTTCAACTTGTTAATTACGCACATTATATACGTACGTTAAGTCATTGCGGAAAGTTTCTCGCGTTGTTGCATCTCATCGAAACGACCGGGATTATTATTGCAGTTGACACGTAAAATTCCACAAACCCCGCGCAATTATTAATTATTATATGCGAATTTTTAAAATACACTATAATTTTCTCACGAGTTTTCGCGAAGAGAACGGGATAGCTCGAATATCGCGTATGCGCGGTGTCGAGAATATTTCAATTAAAGTTGGAATTGATGTAAAAAGGCCGATTGAGACTCCAAAAACTTGGAGATTCTCGCGTGCGTTTATTTGCACGACGGACGATAGGAAACGAGCATTTCTAAGAGGTCTAGTCGCACTCGGAGGAGCGGCCAAGGACGACTTCGTGGTTCACTGCGTGCTAGTTCGTTACATGCAATCGTAATATATACTCGTTGTTACATCCACGGTCCGCGATTCTTGTTTCCTCTCTCGCGAGTTCGATCATGTATAACAAGCTAAAACGTTGTTGAAGGAGGTTTAGACGCGTCAAGGTTTCGAAATGTTGACGATCGAGCGATCGATTGATCGAGAGGAGAAAGTAGGAAGAATACTATAATAGAAGAAATACTTCTTATAATTTTCACACTAATAGACTTCGAAAACGACGTTAACATATTAACACCTACACATAAGGAAATTTACGCGGTTTTCTAGTGATGTATATGTATATGTATATAAGTACAAATATATGCAGACTTTCTATTATATATATATATATAAAATACATATATTTATTTTTATATTTTCTTGAAAAATATTCGAAGAAATATATCATAATTGTATTTCATGCTCCTATACTATCTTACCTGATGAATTGCAAAAAAAAAAAAAAAAGAATCGTAAAAAAGAAATGGCAAAGTTCACATTTGCTTAGTAATTATTCGACAATTGCGGCTCGATAATTTCGCTATATCGTTTTCGACGAGAAAGCGCAATGATTGTTTCATTGTTTTCTATTCTGTTAATGAAATACAACCGTTTTTCAACATTGGTGACGGTGATCTGACGTATATTATTGATCGTTACAATCGGTTTAGCCATTTGACCGCTGCATCACGTATAGAGCTTTATATTCACACGTGCGACCTTTAAGTGGATTTTTGCACGTTAATTAAAAAGGATTCTTTAATACCCTTAATGGTTTTGCAGATAATCGCCTGTTGCACTTATCCGAGTACATGTTAAATCGCATTATCACTAAATAATATTTAAGCTGTAACTTACGTTTATACGTAAAATATTTAATCACATTTATCTTTTCACTTGCCCATTTCTCATCTACACGTGAGTCAGATTGAAAAATTAATTTCTCGTAATCCGAATCGCGGAGAGAATCTAGTTCGCCGGATGAAGTTATTCAAGACTTTTCTTCGGTGAAAATTTAAAGAGAGAAAATTATGAGTCACTAGACTTCGGTCGCGCCTAAAAATTAGCGATATAGGAATAATGAGGTCACGTGTTGGAACTAGAGATAACGCCGCGTACGTACATACACGGATATATAGGTGGAAATCTAAGAAAATATATATGAGACTCCCAGACTATAATTCTCGCTTGCATTTTCACAAGGCGCTTCTCGATACGACTTTAGAGATAAGGTCGATAAACGTATGCGCCATTGTGCAAAGCCAGGCACAGCAAGGCGGTAGGTTAACTTTCTAGGAAACGTCTTTCGGTCGCTTGGAAGAGCGTAGATGCGATTTTATATATACGAGAGGAGAATTCGCGCAAAACGAGGAAATGTTGCCCTTTGTTGACGTCGCGGTACGAGAAACGTGTGTGTGTGTGTGTGTGTGTATAAATACCGCACAATAACAATACACAATATGATTATAGGCGCTATATATAGCGCGCGCGTATAAACGCACATCAATTTCGGAATGAAAATAATAATTATATTACGATACCATTATTCATCGCGGTGCAACGACGACGTAGTGTGACGTCTATCGTCGTAATTTCTTTATCTCTCTGTGTGTAATCATCATATGCGTTAGCGCGCGCGTCTATAATTAGAGAAGACCGAAGCTAATTAGAGCGTGCTCGAAAGGAGAAAGTGTTTTTCGGAGGAAGGGAGGAAAAGAAATGATCGCCTCGCTTCCGGCACTCCGATGGAACTCATCGCGCGCGAATACCTCGATGGTCAGGGATTAATTGCCTCGAGAGAAGTTATCTAAATTCATTAAAACCCGTCTATTCTTTCCTCAATGATCGATGAGTTATGCAATAATGAGACACGTATACAATTGACATGAATTTTCATCCGTGCAATTTCACCGTACGATCGCTATATACCGGGTGTATCTAATCTCGCGATTGCGGCCGAAGGGTACCGAGAGTTCGCCTAATAGAATCTAAGTTAATGCCGGTTATACGGGCCGTACGTCAAAAGGGATATGTGATGGCGGCTTACCGCACGCACAAATCATCGGAGTACCGACAGCGCGGCATATGAGATTTACAGATCGTAAGTCAAGTTCCTCTCGTCTATCGCGCGTTTCGCGCTGCCTTTTCATTTTCCTTACCGAGTAGAGCCGCGACCGCAAGAAAAAGTGCTGCCTCAGAACTTGACATTCCGCTCGTCGACCAAGCTTATTTATCTCCTTGATATTTTCCTTTACGAAGGATCGGCAAAGAGTTTAATTCAATTATCTCGAGTAAAACATAACTTTAGACATCTTAAACTTCTTCTTGCACAAATCATATTTTTTCAAAATTTTTTCTACAAAAGATAATGGTATTATCAAAAGTAACTCATGTATTTGAAAAAAAGAAATGTTGTAGTTTATTACGAGTCCAGTTGTGACAGAGATCGAACATAAAATCTGAATCTGATGAAATGTTTATAATGTTCCAAACGAATAATCCCGCGATCCCAATCGCGGAAATAGATCGCAATGATGAAGTCACGGCGGCGGCGGCGGAGTCGACGACGGCTAAACAATCGCATTTGTTTGGAGAAGGTTTCCTGCGGCCTTGGTCAATGGTTATTTCGGACGGAGCGGCCTATCCCACGAGCTATTGTGTCGTAGACTCGATTGATCGAGAAAGGTTTATCGACGGCGTGTCCATTGTAGCGAGGAACTATTGCTCTCTTTGCGGTATATACAATCGACGGTTTCCAGCTTCATCTCAAACTAACAAGCTCGAACGGAAAGTTTATAACGCCGCGTTTAAAGCGATAGATCAAAAAGCGAACAGATCTCTATTTCGATTTTCTAAAACGTTCTAGCTCATCTCTTACGACGCCGGCAAAATGAATTGCCACTCTGGGAGAAGTACACTTAGGAATTGGGTGGGTTATAGTCATTATATCGGGAATTTTTTCGAGAAAAATAGACGGGAGGTGGGCCAGGAAGCACGTTCACGAAACACCCTCGCGTGTTTACCTGCCTAGACGTTCGCGTGTCGTCGATTACATAAACGAGTAACGATATTGGACGGCGGCTTTGAGAAAGGAACGATTTTCGAGCTCCGACTAAAGCTCGCAAAGCATGTCCGTAAATATTTAATGAATTTTTTTGTTGCACGACGAAAGGCAAATTGTTCGGAAAGATTCGAGAGAAAGTTTCGGAAGGAAGGAAGGGGGAATAAAACTGAAATTTTGAGTTGCGATGAGAGCAATGATGTAACCGTGTGTGTTCGCGAAAAACTCAGCGACGACAGATACAGATGTGCGGTAAACCGTAGCGATGCGATGCGGTTTTGTCACCTTCACCATAAGCGTAATTTTAAGAGCGAATTGCCCAGGCGACTATCTAAATAACGAAGCGGTTTTCCGTTCATATTGCAATGGGTTTATTGTTTTCAACATTTAAGCAGCGTTTAAGTCTCAACAATTTATTAGCCGATTTATCATTCGCGCGAATTACTGAGAGATCTCGCTGCGAGAAGAGACGTGATAAATTTCTTTTTCAATGCCATGTTCGCGTAATAGTTGCATTCATTGGAGAACCCGAGCGTTCTTACGCGTCGAGATTCTTCGATTTTTCATGATTTTTATTTCATATGTGTGAACATACCATTTCGTGTAAAATCATGAATAGTTGACTTTATTTAGTTCTAGAATCTGTCGTTTTACTTCGATATATTTAAGTAAAAGATTTGCTGGCGTTTATTTAATTTTAATTAATATTTTTTATTTTTACAAGGCAGAACTCGTCTTAGAACTTTTGTAGAAATTATAAATCTTTTAAATTTGAACAATTATTGATAAGAAAAATGTCGCAGGACAAAATGATGTACTGCGTGAATTAGTATATCAATTTGGCATTGTCTTTGGTTTAATCGCCAAAGCTATTTGTTTAAACTATCAAGAATTCTAAAATTATTGGAAAAAGTCAGAACTCTTAATTATTTATAAATTTCCACGAAATGAGACGCTTCACGCGATCCTATTACCGCTATAAAAATATTATATAAACAATTTCTCACTCACCGATAACTGCAGTAGCAAAATTGTCACTCCCGACACGACGCGTGAATCGCAATGCTACCTGTAACAAACAAAATATACACATCTATCAGAATAATCTTATTATTTCGCATTATATATAAATATATAAGGTAGAATTAATAATGATAAATACATTCACGGATCGGCAATAGATTTGCGCGCGCGTTGACGATTCGCAAGAAATTTTGCATCGAATTTCTCGCGAAACATGCGTTTCGAATAATTACGACTACATATGATTGTTGAAATTATGATATATGTGGTTGATAAATATTACGATACAAAGTTAGAAACAATTATGTTTACTAATTAATTACAGCGGGATGCAGCTCGAACTACCTGGTACTCGCGGCGTTTCGGTAATGAGCGATGTTATTCGCTATTTTACAAACATCGGCAACTTCACTCTAATAGCGCGCGCGATACTACACATGACTTAATATTAATAATAATTAATTAAAACTCGAAGGAGATTTGTTCGAAAAGGTACAGCTTTAGAATAATCGTCAAAATTATTTGTTTAAACTATCAAGAAGATAGAATTATTAAAAATGAAGGCAGAACCATCAATTATTTATGATCATCCATTAAATGATATACCAGCTTCACATATTTATATTTCGTGCAAAATATCTGCAAATGAATGATTTGAAAAAATGAATCGGAATGAAAAGATTATTCTATGTCGCTTAAAATATATAATAGTTCAGTATAAATAATATTTCCGCCGTCACACAAGAAGTGGAACACGTGCGATACGCGCGCGTTTATGTCCGCTGTAATTAACTTCGTTATCTTCGTAACTTTTATCTATTGGCGCAATTAACAAAACGCAACTATCTTGACCGCGTTAGGGGTTAGTCCGTGCTGCAAATAAACGTTAATAATGTCAACGAAACTTTCACAAGTCGCTTATTTGTGCCTTGAAATTTAATGGTCATATAAATATTTATCATTTACAATTTTTCTCTTATTCGAGTTTTTTAATATATGTATATATAATTAAATTTATTAAATAGACAAATGTGGGGATTGAAATGAAAATTATGTTTCCTGTAATACATAAAATAATAATTAATTTCTCATACGATTAAAATCAATAAGATAATAAATAATGCATTTAATTATCATTTTTTTTATATGTAATAACTATGGTAAGGTAATAACGCGCAAATAACTAGTATGTAAATTATTTTAAACTTTTTAAAAATAGCAATTCTCTCTCATATCGTTATAATACTTTTAAAAAATAATAAATCTAACAGGATTAAAATAGAAGAAATAAATGAGATTTTTTTCACAATGTAGAACGATTAAATATAAGTCTCACTAAATACATATTAATTTAAATAAATTGAGTTCGTGTGACAAAAATAAATCGCTTGCATAAATACATATAAAGCATACAAAGTTTGTGAAAAAAAAACAGCGATTCTAGGATGCATATTCGTATCGAGTCTGCATAAAAATCGCGTGTTTCCGCTACAGCCTGCATACGATAGTAGTTGCCTATATTGCCAAGGGCCGGCTATTGTAAACAAACGAGGGACAAATGAGGCTGAGACAGAAAGAGAGAGAGAGAAACAGAGAAGATGCGAGAGTACGGAAATGCAGCTCTCGGTGAATGAATGGATAAAATCAGGAAGATACTCTCTCCCTCCGATCCTTCGCCCCGATTACATCGTATCCGAGACCGTTCTCTCGACAATTGCTGTCCCGCAACACGAGATTAATTCCGCGGAGCGCTAGCCGGTCGGCCGACGAGTCAGCCTTGAACCAAATTACTGCCGTTGTTTAGTTGTTTAGCCAGCGTACACGCTGCACAGAAATCTCGGCCGGGGGCATCTAAGGAGAACAGCATTAGGCGCGAACCGATCGTGATATATCCCCCTTTTTTCACTGCTTGGGCTACTTGGTCACCGATTATTCTCAGTTGATCGATAATCGAGCGAATACTTGGATTCGCTGCACGCTTCGGTTAAAAGATCCGTCGATAAGCTACGCGACTTTTGTCTCTCGATATAAGTATAGGCAAGAGTCTTGTTAGCTTTTCAAAAGAAAAGTTTCATCTCGCGTATCCTAATCCATCCGCGATGTTGCGCAAATGTATATTCGCACACTTGTCGCGACAGGACGCGGTATTGTGAGTGTAGCCTTGAATTTACAGGCACGACTGCAACAATAGTTGAATAGAGCGCATTGGCACGCCAGAAACCGCAAACCTCGGCGAGAGGCGAGAGCGAACGGCAGAGCCGATATTCCGTGAACCAAAGCGAAAAAGTAGCGAGGTGACGAAAATTAGCATACCGTCGAATAGAGTTACTTTGCACTCTGGTACGAGGTAGTTATTTTTACGCGACGTTCAAAGCTCGAAAAAAAGGTGCATTCGAAAACTTTTGAATCGAATATATCCGTTTGACAGTTCGGGCTCAAAGTCCATCAATTTCATTGCTTCTCATATAACACTGTTATTTCTGCCTATATATCTGCTATCGGATATACATAGTTATCCACGATATCATTATTATTGCTATAGATCGTTTTATTAATCTCGTTATAATTATCATCACCGTCATCATCATGTGATTATTATCGTCATCATAACGTCATCTTTGTTCTATTCGATGCAATTAACATACATCATAACGTGACAAGGCATGTTCTCATATCCTTGACAAGCGACCCGAACACGCCTCAGACTCGAAGTAGAAACACTAATCTAAATGATCAAACGATTTTGTCAAATCTTACGCGAAATCAATCGAGAAATATATAAAAAAATTTACGATTGCATACTTTATGATTGTTCTTTTGATGTAACTATTGATAATTAAATACGGCTATCAATAAATTATAATATCGCTAAACAATAAAAGCACGCATAGAAAAGAAGGTGAGAAAAGATAGAACGGAAGAGATGATGGTTCTGGTTTGCTAACTATTTTTGGATGAGCATCTTCAAGGCTACCGACTATCTTTATACTCTTCTCCTCGTTTTTTTCTGCGACAAAATTTTAGATGTAAGAAATGTGATAGAAAATTGATACGCCGGCAATGTAGTTGATTAATATAAAACATTATATGAAAATCAGATATAACACTTTGTAGGAAAATGCTTATTAGATTTTAAATTCTTTTATATAAAAAATTATTTATATATACATATATAAAGATATATATATATATTTTTTTATATTTTATAAATGCATGCTACATATTATCAATATATATTTATGTATATGTTACATATATACATAATAAATATATATTTATGTTACATAAGTATATATTGATAATATTTTAGCATAAATTTATAAGAACTCTCTCTCGTCTCTACAAAAGAATATTAAAGACATAGAAATCTGCACAAGATATGTAAAATTACAAATCATCATTGTATAACATTGTAAAACAAGTTCCTAATTTTATGAAAAGTGTATTATATCGTATGCAGAATGAGTTTTAGGACAGAATGCAAATTTATACAAAAGCAAGCGAATAGAGTACAGTGTATAGACTGGTTGTCAATAGCGTTTCTAGTATGTCTACGTGTCGGGTAAAAAAATTTATCTGTAATGGTATATCGTAAATTCTCCGATATCTCTATGTAAATAAATATAATTTCCTGTAAAAGTAGAACAGATTTTATTCATAATGCCGATCTTATTCGTCAAAATAGTCAATGACTTAAAAATTGTAAAATTCTATCATTCAATAAAACAAGATACCGTCAAAGTGCAGCGAAAAAAATAACCTTTCACAAAGTTTGCGTATAATCAATCTATTTGACAATCTTTCAAAATTTGGAAATTTTTTTATACCATATTACACAAATGCTTCATTAAAATTATCTAAATGTGTTTTATGAGATATATAGATTATAAGAAGCCCATCTATATACATTCACACATGCATACATAAATGCTATACATATAAAATTAAAATGATAGATATCGTTGAAATTAATAAAATAAAATTGAATTTTCAGGGAAACAGGGTAAAGATGGACCAGAGGAAAAGAAGGATGCGGATGGCGAACTTTGGGGCAACGTGGAAGCGCAGGCCGCCTTCCTCGGACCTACTCTCTGGGACAAAAGTCTGCCCTACGATGCCGACCTGAAGGTATTAAATCATGTATGTATAAAGAGGTGCGACACGGTAAGCCTTCAATTTGGCTGAATCTAATCCCAAAATTCCATGAGCGAAAATTGAAAACAAAGCTAATTACTGTCTCGATCCATTAACTGTATTTGTTAATTATGTCCATGTTCTCTTCAAAATATTCACTGCTTAATTCATGAATTTTTATAAAATAGAGATTAATCGCGTGGAGAGAATCTATAAAATTTCTCTAAGTATCGTCGATTTTGGAAATGTACGTCGTGAAGCTCATGTGTATTCCGGAAATTGCTGTATGTGTATACGCTACGTAATAGAATGTAGAAAATCAATGTAGCGGACCACTGCATCGCCCCGTTGTAACACTTACTCCGTTATAATTCGCCTTCCTGGATCGAGAAACCGGGAAGCCGAATATTAAGCCGCTATGCAATCGTGACGATAGCGCGGCCGCTTTCTCCGTTATGCTTCGGCGGAATCGAGAAGAGAAGTTTTGGCTGTTCTTTACTATTTTCTCTGTTATTATTTTTAGCAAAATTATCTCAATAACTTAACAAAAAATTATAATTTTCTTATTAATTCTCGAATACGAGTATAATAAAAAAAAATGATCTCATAGCATATTTTTTTGCGATCTCAATTAGATGTAACATTATATAAACAATTCATTGTCTTAATTTATGTGGTTTTAATTTATGTAAAAATACGTGTATAATTCATAAGCAATGATTAAAACATTTGTGTTTGTAAAATATGAATAACGCAATTTTTGGAAAAGCATGCAATTCTTAATGAACCTTTCGCCAACTTTCACTACTTGCATTCCATTCGTCGCGACACGCCGCTTAAAGTTTAATAAAGAAACACAGTAAAATCGCAAACGTGCAAAGAAAATTGAGATAGAGTACGAAGATATCTTTTGCAAAAAAATATTGCAAGTTTTTTCATTACAAATTTACAAGTTTTTCATATATATCTTTTTTATGTAATAACAGATTAAAAAGTGTAGACATTTTTTCCACTCATAATAATTTCTGGCCCTCTTTTTAATTTCCCTACACCATCTTAAGTAAAGCATTAACCGATTGCGTAATTGATAGACAAAATTCTCAATTCGTAAGATTCATGTAAAATTCGTCGTCGGACTCGTTATTGATAGATTCTACTTAAAATTCTAAGATGCCATCTCGGAAATAACGTCTCGGATCTTTTTCGATAGTACGTCGATCTCGATGAGTTTCTTTCCGAAAACGGCATCCCCGTCGATGGTGTGGCTGGTGGTGGACAAGGTGCCATGCAGGGCAGCCAGCTTCATAAAATCAACAATACCGAGGCCGCAGGACATCAGGGACCAGCGGGTCTCCACTTGGAACCAGTTACTAAGCGCGAGAGGTCACCATCGCCGAGCGAATGTTGCTCGCCGGACACCCTGAACCCACCCTCTCCAGCGGACTCTAGTAAGTATATATCAAATTTTCTCGCCCTTTTATCTCTCGTCGTAGCCGTCGTTCGTGATACCGAGATCCTGAGAAGTGTTTCTCTCATACGATTTTATGTAAATGTCTAGTTCGTATAAATATGAGAATAATGTATGAAGGAATAAAAATGTCAAATTTCTAATGATATCTTTAAGCATCTAACATTTTTGTTATGCGTAGTATGTATATGTGTGCATGTATTATTAATTTATTTACTGTGTATATCTTTGGAAAACTTGAAAAGAGTGTGAATATATATATATATATATATATATATATATATTAATTTTACATATATCGTCAAGTAATATATATATTACTTGACGATATATGTAAAATTACTTATGTAAATGTCTAGTTCATATGTTCACTCTATATATATATATATATATTACTTGACGATATATGTAAAATTAAGAAGAGTGAAATATATAAATTGCAAGAGCATAAAGTATGTAAGAGAGGGATGCGATAGAAAATCGTGAGGCTTCGTCGAAAGTAACGAAGTTATAAAATAGAGCGATGAAAGAAAAAGTCGTAACGAAGGGGCACTAATGTAACCGTATTTCCTTACAAAAGAGAGAAAGACGAAAGAGGAGAGAAAAAATATATACTCTGTCTCAGAATCTTTATCGCGATAACGTCGTGCTTGTCGAGTACACGAAAGCAAACGTAGACTAACGTCGACATTGTCGATTGTTCCTCTTCCGCGCGACAGATTCCGAGGACTCGTCACGAATACAATATGGCTTGTCTCTTGTAGCGCTCTCGATGGCCTCATCGGGGCGAGACTTCGATCCACGTACCCGGGCCTTCTCCGACGAGGAGCTCAAACCCCAACCAATGATCAAGAAATCGCGGAAACAGGTAAGCCACTATATTTTTGGCGGGAGTTCGCGATGCATTGAAATTCTCGCGTCTGGAACGCGACGCGTTTTCTCGCGACATCATTGAACACGAATGACGTTCTAAAGTTCTTATGTTCTCTTTCTCGCTCGCTTCCGTTTGCGGCCGCAGTTCGTTCCGGATGACTTGAAGGATGACAAATACTGGGCGCGTCGTAGGAAGAACAACATGGCAGCGAAACGATCGCGAGACGCGCGTCGCATGAAGGAGAACCAGATAGCACTCAGGGCCGGCTTCCTCGAGAAAGAGGTGAGTTTTCTCTCACGGAAATTCGAAACCGCTGCAGTGTTTTTCTACAGCTATTCATTCTTTCATCGAAATAAAAAAAAAATCACTTTAACTGTATCTGAAGAATGTATGTGTATATTTATAAAGCCGCTCTTATCAATTTATCTACATTTTTTCCGCGACGACCTGTGATTAAAATGCATCGCTCTTGCGCGCCTTATAAAAAAGAAAATTAAGATTTAATCGAATCTTCATTTCTCGCTTCATTTGCAGAACATGGGTCTACGACAGGAGCTGGACCGGTTAAAAAACGAAAACATGTTGCTGCGCGACAAACTGAGCAAGTACACGGACGTCTAACATCTCGTCCCCGGTCATGCATCAACCCGAGCGATATACGAAGAAGAGAGAGAAAGAGAGCCAGAGAAGAAGAGAGAGAGAGAGAGAGAGAGGGAGAAGGAGAGAGATAGAAAGAGAGAAACAAATTACGAGGGTGCATAACACCAGCCGCAGCCCCCTTACATATAATCGCAGCACATAACAGTCTTCGCGTCTTCACGGAGAAGCCAAGAGGATGCAGAACACGTTGACGAATATCATCAACTCCCGACCCGACCGCCGCCGTCCTATGAGAATCGACAGCACTTCCTGAGAAATTTCTAAAAGACCTAATCTGTATCTTTTTCCCTCTCTTTCTATTTTCTCGTCTTTCTTTTTCTCTTTTACTTTCGCGAATAAAATTCATATTAAGTCCTCGCTCCTTGTCCCCGGCTCTAGAGGAAAACTCCTTCTCTTGTAAATAGTTATATGTATAGTTAGATTATACACACACACATACATACGTACAACACAACACACATACGTACGTGCGCGCGTTATATATATATATATATATATATATATATATATATATATAAAAAGAAGAAAAGAATTATATATGTATACGTACACATACAAATATACACACGAGTATCTGCATCTAAGGAAGGGGATCATAATAATGTCACTCTCGTACATAAATTTGCGGATGCAGCGCTCGACGAGACACGTCGATTTCGCGATGAATCTTTTAGATTTGAGTCGTCTATTTCGAAAAAAAAATTGGATTATTGCGAGAGTCGGCTATTAGGCAACAAGATTCGAGATTTGTAGTTTTCATTCGGCGAATCTCGTCGGCGTTGAGCACTGCCAAAATAAACATACGTAAAGAAGCTGTATCGTTCGATTATATAGTCGACATGGAGCGGAGGCGAGCGAAGGTTGGGAGAACACGACGCTTTTCTGCGCACGGGTTAATTATCCTGGTTCTCCGAGAATGCGTTAATTACTGTAGCGTATCCCACGTGGTGATGGTACACAAGTGATTCTAGTTGTTTTAATCATAAGATAGATGATATATACGTGTTTCGTTTTTTTCAAAGCTTCTCTCTCTCTCTCTCTCTCTCATTCTCACTCGCTCACTCTCGATCTACCTATCTATCTCTATTAATAGCATGTAGCGAATCAATCCGGCCACGCGAGAAGTGCGCGAAAGGCGTCGCGACGCGACTCCATTCTTTTCTTCTTTCGTAAAATCGCCCAACGTCGGCGGCTCGGGATACGAACAATGAAATGGTCCCGAAAAATATCCCGAGATATCCTTCTGCCGCGTAGCGAACAAATTTTGTACAGGATGTCCTCTTGTAAAATATATTTTAAGATACATCGAGTCATCCTGACGATTACGTAGCTGCGTCTTTGACGGGATTTGTAATCAACGCGGGAAGCTATAAAGACAAATATGGAATGAAACGTACCGTGTATCCGACGATCGGAACAGCCTCTAATGATACAGATGGGCGCGTGCATCGTCGATGTTAAACGTAGGCGTCGTCGTAAGTGAAAAGAAAAAAAAATGTTACACGACAAACAAAGAATACGAGTACCATCAGTGCTCAAACGTAAAAGCTAGTTGCACCGGCTCGCGTGTTGCGCTGGCTCCTTCCTTTCCCGCCTCTCTTCTCTTTTTAAGTTTTTAGATGTTTATTTTTCCATCACCGTGAGAGCGTCGGTGACGGTGATCGAGAGAGCAAAAGTCGAAAAGAAACCGACCAGAAGACATGCGCTTTTTTTGTGTGTAACAGGTCAACTAAACAATATTTGAACGGAGATTTTTACTCGTTTTGTTCAAAATTTAACGATAATAATCGAACCGGTACCTATATTACGCGTTCCGAAAAGTAAATTGTAATTTAATCGTAATGCAATTAATTTTGAAAATGATTACAAACGACGGGATGATACTCTTGCAGTTTCATTTGGATATATATATACCGATGATATGTAATAGTCTTGTGTGTTTTCCTCTCGATCGTACGATGCACAAACGCGAAACGCGGACGTTTTGTATATACATATATCGTTTTATCGGGCAGGAAGGTAAAACAAAGATCGTGTAATGAGATTTCAATTCGACTTGGCGTTTGATCGACGGCAAACCCGCTTTAGATATCGCAGGACGATTTCGCGCGCAAAAACATATACCGTTCTATTCTCGTTATCCTCGTTCTATCGAGCGTATTATAGATATTCACTTTATTATGCTATTTATCATATGCATATTTTTATTATATACGTTCGTTATAATATACGTATATAAAATTGTATACGTAATTTTATCAGATTGTAAAATTTATTTTGTAGTATATAAATATAATATATATATATATATGTAATAGATCATTGTTCGTTCATGCGCGAACGCATTGATCTCATTGTTGATTGATGATTATATCGTCATTAAAATGATTTGCCGAAAGTCGCGCGCGAAATCGTTTCATCACAATTCTCCACGATTGCCTTGCACATTTTAACAGAGAAATGCTGCGTATATATGACGATGAATTCAAGAAGCGATGAATTATTGAATAGATATCTTGCGTCGGCAGATTTTAGCGAATGTCTCCACCGCGATCTAGAATCGTAATATAATTTCGGTAGCGGCACAAAATTTTATTTTTCAGAAATGTTACATTGTAAATTAGCGTTATTTGATAAGATAATCATTGCATGGCTTTTCATTCCGACGTAATGAGTTAAAGAGAAAAAAAATAGTATAATATTGCAGCGTGAAAGCGTAATAGAGAGAGAATGAAATTTCACATTTGATTGTATACGAAATTTCTCATGTCATTCTTATAAAGATAAAGAATATAACGTAGATTGCAGGGAAGTTTTTCATTTATTTGCAATATATCTACTTGAAGATTAACGCGAGCCAATATCAAGTTCGTGCGATATGTGTTCTGCTTTTCACGCACGCTCGTCATCATTAAGGGCAATGAAAAAATTTGCAAAAAAAAAAAGAGAAAAATCTTTGCGTACATAATTTCTACATATAATACGATACGTATAATATATATTTTAGAGTAATCTAAAGTAATTTTTCTTGTCGCGGGCAAAAAATAAGATTTACACTATCGAAAATCGATCGTATTGCTTGTACAAATCAAACTTATTATGAACTCATTTTTCGATCACACCGTCCCGGCGCCATTAATGATGCTGAATGTGCGATATGATGTGGATCTCGGCACAAGTTACTGGCCTATAAAAAGCGCATTAGCATGATTGACATACACTGCAATCCGATGATAGTAATAAATAAAATAGTAGAGAGTTATATATAGCAAGCGCGACAGACGCGGCTGCCGGCTTTGCTCTAAATAGAATGATAAGAAAATGAGATAGAGGGCACCGCCGCGTCTTCGATATAAATAATCGTCCGATCCACTTAAACAAAATATGGAAAATATGAGAAGAATTAGATATGACCACCAACACAAGAAACCTATTGTATCACATTTCGAGAAATATATGTATTTGTTATTGTTTTAATTGAATCCTACAGTTGTCCTACCATATCCTATTTTTCCACATATACATAGCTCCTAATTTTTTCTCGACAACAAGAGTTCAATGTATTCGATCGGTATTAGATGAGCTTATTTATTTATTATTATTTAGTTAACTTCGTCCGTGTGCGACCTCCGAATTGTATTTCCCTTGAAATTATTGCGGTAATAAGTTTTACTGTGTGCGTGAAACAAGCGTCAGACAAACATTACGTTAAAGTATATCAAACGTTATTGGTAACATCACATCAATTGCGTTAAAAAGTTATTAAAAACAAAAAGGTAAAGTTTGCGGCAATATGGGCTATCTTCTTCCTGCGATTACTTTAAATCGCTTTTCGATGTTTAACCCTTTAATGAGGTATTTTTCATCTCAAACAATTGATTGGAAACACGAAGAAATGGTGGATACCCGAAAATAAAGGTTTTGCTATCGACAACATTAGATCATACAATATCACTTTTTCTGAAGAAGTAATTCTTTAAAAATTATATTAATTTGATTCAATTAAAAATATATTTTAAATAAAAAGCACATATTAAAGTAAATTATATAAATTAAGCAGTTATTATTAATGTAAATAAATTATTTTCAGTTTGTGAACAATTTAAAATCTAAATTAAGAAATAGTGAAATTGTACAAAAACCAAACAAAAGTGCATATATTAAAAACAATAAAATGATTATTTTGTCTAAACTTTTGCGTCATTGGGCATATACTTATGATTTTAAGGCAGGCGAGAAATACATAAATTCATATCCACAATTTGTAACTAATATTCAAGGTAAAATATATAAATTGTAATATTATTTTATATTATTAGTCGTGAAAATAACATATACCAAAAAAGCATATTGTTTAACATTCTTCAAAGTCACAAACACTTCGTTCTACAAAATCATAAACACTTTGTTCGGTAATCAATAACTACGAGACTTCTAATAGGTCAAACATAATAATGTAAAATATTATTAATAATTTGAAAGTTTTCCTTTTTAGAAATTAAAATAGAATATTAAAAAAATATGTGATGATGGATATTAGAAAAAATCTCATGAAAAATACATATTAGCAACGTAATACTATAGTCTTAAAGAGATATTCACGTAAAGAAAAGATAATGTTAGAAAAAGTTATCTTAATATAATCATTAACTTAAATGAATAATTTTATATTCTGTTTCAGGATTATACATTCATTTTGTTCATATAACGCGACACGTGAAGAAACCTAATGTGGAGAAAAATCATATGCCATTGCTACTTTTACACGGATGGCCAAGTTCAATAATGGAATTTTATAAGGACATACAACTTAAGTTTGCAGAAGAGCGTGAAATAATAATACCTTCTTTGCCTGGATTTGGTTTCTCCAGTTCACCAACAATACCTGGTTTCACATGTATTGAGATGAGTGTAGTTTTAAAAAATCTTATGTTAAGGCTTGGTCATGATAAATTTCGCGTTCAAGATGGCTCTTACGGTGCTAATAATGGGCATATTATGTCGATACTATTTCCGCAACAGTAAATTTTTTTCTTTTAATAAGTTTAATACTTTTTCAACTCTGAAGATAAAAAATTATTTCAAATTTATATTATTTAAATTGCAGCGTGGATGACACTTTAAACATACATGATAAACAAGAAATGCCATTTGTAAAATATACAAAAAGATTCAGAAATACTTTTACGCAAGCTAATCAAATATACACAACTAGTATATGTAACGTATTCATATTTTATGATTATACAGAAATATTTATACATATTATTATGATTTGAAAATAAGAAATTAATACAAAATATAAGCGAGAGATCGAAAATCTTACATTTTCAAAGTATAACGTTTGTTTCAGATTTTGATTTAAACAAATCACCAAATGTTTTGGCAGAGTACCTTATAGAGCAAATTCTTCGCGCAGATCCACTGAATGTCTTAGAAAAAAAGATAAACATTAACACAGAAATGATTGATAATCTAATGATGTATTGGAGAACAAAGTGCATATATAGAGCCATGCAAACATATAAAGCACAATTTGAAAAACTACCAACTGACTTTATTGATTTATTGTTGCACACTTATGGTATTATTAAAGAATAAGTTATTATTATAAAATTTAGGATAAATTACAAATAGTGAGTAACATTTTTTTGCAAAGATCTTCGATCTTACTAGTATTAAAAAAAAATAGTTCTTGAATTCCTTGGACGATACATTAAAATCATTTTTTTTTAATAATGGAAAGCCATATTAATAATATATATATATAATATTATTATTTAATAATATATATATATATATATATATATATATAATTTAATAATATTATATAAATTAAAGAGATAATAAAATGAAAGAGAATAAAAAAGAGAATGAAAAAGTATGTATTCGGAAGTTTTGAAGCGCAAGGTATTAAAAAACTATTAATTTTTAGACAAATAAAGATTTAAGCTAAATAATTTAAGATAATTTTTAAACAAATAAAGTAAAATCGTAAAAAAAACATTGTGAAAATCATTTGTGGATCTTAAACTGTGATAAATAATATTATATATTTTTATATTAGTAATATATTACTGTTATATTAAAATATATATAATTATTAATTTAATAAATATAAAGCATTAACTTAATCAGTATGTGTATCAGCATTTAATTTGTTCACACGGTTATATTTATTAAAAAATTGATTAGAGCGCAGGTTCGAAGACCTATCTGCGCACAAGTTAATTATCTCGGTTTTACGAGAATATGCGTTAATTACTATATGTATATGCCATATGATATATATATAAAAGTAATTGTAGTTGATTTAATCGAAAGATAGATGATGATACATGTATTTCGTTTTTTTTTTTAAACTTCTCTTTCTCTCTCCCACTCATTATTGATCTACTTATGATGATACCTATCTATCTATATACTATAATATGTAACGAACCAATCTGGCCACGCGAAGAATGCGCAAAAGGCATCACGACCCCATTCATTTTTTCTTTCGCTAAACGTCGGCGACTCGGAAATGAACGATAAACAGAACCTATCCCGAAAATACCTCGAGATGTCTTTTGCCGCGTACCAAAAAATTTATACCGGATATCTTCTTATAAAATATATTAAAATGCATCGAGTCATGACGAGCGACGATTACGTAGCTGCATCTTTGACGGGATTGATATAACGCAAGGGGCTAAAGTCGAATAGAATGAAACGTACCGTGTCTGACGATCGAATCGTGAATCAGCCTCTAATGATATATAGATAGAGTATAGAGGCGTGTATCGTCGATGTTAAACGCAGACGTTGTCGTAAGTGAAAAAAAATTATTATATTATATAAATATTATTATTAAGAGTATACCATCGTGCTTAAACGTGAGCTAGTTGCACAGACGTGTCTACATTGATCTATTTCCTTTCTTCTCTTTTTAAGTTTTAAATGTTTAACAATTACCGTAAAGCGTCGATGACGGTGATCGAGAAAGCAAAAGTCGAAAAGGAATCGAGATATGCAATTTGACCAGGTGCCAGATTTACGCAGGTGAATTAGCGATATTTCTAAGTTCGAATAAGTCTTTAAACAGAGATAGATCGATGTCGATCTTAAAGCGGAAAAATGACGAGCACCCAATTTTAAGATATTTCACATCCGCATGCACGGTCTCTTTTATAGAATCGTTTATAGATATTTCTAGTAATTTTCGTTTCGGTTGTAGTTGCACGGTTTAGAATTTGCAATTGTTTAAAAAAATGGTTTCAATTTCAGGTGATTCGGACTCTTTGTATATAGTTGTCATTTTTATGTTGAGGCAGATTTAAAAAATGTTTGAGATTGTAAAATAAAATTCGGACTGGTTTGTAGTGTATTTGAGCGAAATAGCGAAATCACCTAAAAATGAAATTTCTAAAAAATCTAAGCTGACAAAACTTTTACACATATTCACAAAAGAAACTTCAATTCAATTTTAAAAAATGAAAAACTTGTCAAATTCTGCGTGATTCGGAAGTTATTCGCGAAATTTCTTTAAGATTTGAAAACAAAAAATCACTTCCGTATTCATAAAATTTTTGAAAGTCAAATTCGCGTAAATGCTCGAAATTTCTAATTTGAATAAATCTTTAAGCTGTATATACATATATCATATCGATTTGATATAAAAAGATTTCTATAGATAATAAAGAAGTGTGTGAGAACTGTTTGAAACATACATTATTGTAAAATTGATAAGAAAGACTAATACCTTGAGAGATTATAGACTCAAACACACATACAAATATATACACACACGCGCGCGTACACACACACACACCCACCCAAGGATGGACCGCCATTCCCCTACCATTAAAATCTACAGTGACTGGGCTGTTGTAGGGGACCTAGTCAATCGTACGCAGTTCAAGGCAGTTATACGTTCTATGCCAGACGAGACGGATACACATCATGTGGAAGACCACGACGGTAATCTTGGTTCTTACCATTGGCATAGCTCTCTTGTTACGGTAAGTGCGCAAGCATTGAATAAGCTCATTCGGAATATTTTATCAAAGACTTTGCAGAGTACAAGACATTTTATATATATTTATGATTTATTTTTAACACTGTGAATTGCATTTAATTGTTTCAATATTTTTGCGTTAGTTATAAATAAATAATATAACTTATTGTCATATTAATAAGAAGATTTAAGGTATTAATTTTTTTGTAGAAACAATCCTATAGATGTAGTAGATTTGCCTGAAACATTCTGGGGTCCGGAAAAAAATAAGGGGGCCTCTAAAGAAATACGACCTTTCGTTATAAATACACCGAAGTCGGTAAGTCACGAAAGAAAAATATTACCTCATTAAGATAAATAATATGTTTTCAACAAGATTCTTATATATGTATTTTTACTGGTCATTATATGAGATATTGCATAAGCATAAAAAAACGTATGATACTTTTTATCAATTTTCGAACAAAATTATTTTCCAAATGCATATTTGTGTTAAATGTGTTACTTTACAGTTGTTATCGTATATGCAATTTTTGTTTAATATAATACCAGATAATCATCGTTCATAATTAACAATATCACAGCGATCAGTTTTTTTGATTGTAAATAGAGATAGAAGACTTTCAACCGCGCATAAACAAGTTTATTGCATAATATGACTTTCAATTTATCGCGAATATTGATTAGATAACAAGACACGAATATATAGTCTACGTAAATTTCGTATAAATTAAGTCTTTTTAGAACTTGTAAATTTTTTGTATTGTTTAATGATTATTATAAAAGAAAACAAATTATAAAAAACACATTATAAAAGCCACTATTTAAACTCAAGTTTCTAAATTTGGAAATCTTTAGTTCTTTATTATTTATATTTTTCAAGTATAAGTAAAAGAATTAACAATTTTTAAGAGATTGTTTGTTAAACGTCTTAACATAAAATGTTACATCTAATATCTAAATATAAAAATTTTTTCACGAAGAATGAAAAGCGAAATAAAAATTCTTCAATTTTTAATTCGAAAAAATCGATTGATTATTGTGACCTAAAGGAAAAAACAAACAGAAGAATGCAAATAAATCTTTTTAAAGAAGTAAAAGAAAACGCGTGCAGCAATTGTTATGTAAAATTTTTTTGTTAAATTCTTACGATAAGGTAATCGATGACCTGAACGAACGACTCGCAAAGAAAAGAGAACTGGTTGAACCATTGGAAGATGTTGCGTGGACTTATGGCATCAGTACGACATATCTGAATAATATTCTTGAACATTGGCGTACAAAGTACAATTGGACTGAAAGAGAAGCACTTCTCAACAAATATCCTCAATATAAAACCAATATACAAGGTAATAAATTTTTTTGTGATCGTGCAGCATTATTTTTTGAAAAAAATGTTTGGAAATATTTGCAAGAGATGGATAATTTTGTTCAAGATACAAGCGCATCGCTCTCGTTAAATATTTTTTCTATTTCCGGTAATTATTTTCTTTCGAATACTATTAACGGAAGATAATATTAACCTAAATAACTCGTCCATGGTTTAATCACACAAATCCCGTTAAAATGCTTTTCGTTACTCGAGTGAGATAAACCGATATTTATATGGCAAACTAAAAACACTTTGATAAAAACGAGTGACGCATGTTTTTTTTATTGTTCTGCTAAAATTAACTCTGTCTTTATCGTTGCAATAAAAAAATGCAAACGGGTCAGGTGATTAATTAATCATTATAAAAAAACAATCACGTCCGTTAGATGTACCTTTATTTACATCAACGGAAGTTCGTTTATTGTTATTTAGAACTTGTTTATTAATTATTAATTATGTCAATTAGCTGTATAATATTATTTCTTCCAATAAAATAAATTTTTTTCTCACACAGAAGTTGTGTGACTTACTTAATTCGACACACTAACAAATAAAGATATAGATGTTCGTATATTTTACGTTTCGACAATACGGGTTGTGGTCCATCTCAAAAGAGTAACAATTTTAAACAAAAACCTAGAATCCGATAAAAAAATTATGATGTTATTCGTACAACACAAAGAAACAATCAATCGAGATACTTACAAATATATAGTTACATCATCTTAATATTAGAAAGTTGATAGTTAAATACAGACAAAATTGAGTATTATTAAGAAACCGAAAATAATTTACAAACTGTTAGAGCTTCATAACGGCAAATTTACCACTAAAGAATAACGATCCCTGGAGATATATAATTTATGCGAAATCGTTATTCTTTAGTGGTAATTTTGCCGTTATGAAGCTCTAACAGTTTGTAAATTATTTTCGATTTCTTAATAATACTCAATTTTGTCTGTATTTAACTATCAACTTTCTAATGTTAAGATGATGTAACTATTTGTAAGTATCTCGATTGATTGTTTCTTTATGTGGTACGAATAATATCATAATTTTTTGTATCGGATTTTAAGTTTTTGTTTAAAATTGTTACTCTTTGAGGAAGACCACAAGCCATATGGTCAAAACATAAAATATACGAACATCTATCTGTATTTGTCAGTGTGTCGAATTAACTCACAACCTCTTTGTATTTAGTTTATATTTTATATGTTGTTATATTTTTTAAAATATGCATTATTATTATATAATAATATATATTATATATATTATAATATACATATAATGTATTGAAATACAATATAAATATATTTCAATATATATTATATTATTATTATACACATATATACAGAGTTAATTAAAACCTTAAAACGTGAAATGAAAGTAAAGTGAGAATTTTTTTATATTTACAGGTCTGGACATACACTTTTATCGCGTGAAACCATATATTCCTCCGGATCGGAAAAACATAAAGATTCTTCCATTATTAATTACTCACGGTTGGCCAGGATCTGTGGTGGAGTTTCAAAAAATTATTCCTATGTTAACGACACCGCGTGCCGACAAAGATTTTGTGTTTGAGGTGATTGCACCTTCACTTCCGGGATATGCATTTTCGCAAGCAGCTGTTCGATCAGGATTGGGTCCACCGCAGGTAAAATTTATTTAAAAATTACGCAATAGTCTTTTGCTAAATGGCATATAGTACTCACTATGCTATTCAAGACATTGTCACAAAAAGAATACACTGGAATAACGAATATTTAATATTTATTCTTCGCGGCGCGAAAGTGTGTATATGTATATACACAGTAATAATTTATTATTTTCTTATTATAGGTAGCTGTTATATTCAAAAATCTCATGTTGCGTCTCGGCTTTAACAAGTTTTACGCGCAAGGAGGAGACTGGGGCTCTATTATTACTAAGCATTTAGGCAGTTTGTTCCCGGACAAGTATGTATATTATATAATTATTAAATTGACAGGATATATTGTATATACTTTAACGTAAGAGTATAAAATATGAAAATGATAATCGTTTTCTTTCAGCATTTTTGGCGCTCATATGAACATGTGTTCAACCTTACACAAGTCCAGCATGATCTGGTGGTTACTCGGTGCTTTTATTCCACAACTTGTGGTAGATAATGAATATTATTCTAGAATGTATCCCTTGAGTGATCACATGAGTCGATTACTTGAGGAAACGGGATATATGCACATACAGGCAAGCAAGCCGGATACTTTAGGTAAGTATTTGTTTATATGGAAAATTTTTATAATAAAAATTCAATATCGAAATGTGTGCGTTTACGAAGTCTTAATTTTTGAATATTAAATTAAATTCACAATTGAACTTTCATTAAAGTAAACTTGCAAAAATATCACTTTTCTTTTTTTCGCTTAGACAATCAATAATATAATATATCATAAGTATTTAAACAAATGCGCACAAATGCAACTTGTTGAAGAGTTAAAGTAATGCAAATTATTTTTAAAGGCGCTGCTGTGGGAGCCTCACCAGTAGGAGTGGCAGGATATATCTTGGAAAAATTTAGTACATGGACAAATAATGAATATAAACTTCGGCCTGACGGTGGTCTACTCGAAAAATTTACTTTAGACGAGCTTTTAGATAATGTCATGCTTTATTGGATTACCAATTCTTTGACGACGAGCGTCCGAATTTATTCGGAGCAATTTAATAAGAGACATATGTCAAGCAGAATAGATGAGTGAGCGTTCTTCTTTCTTTTTTTTATAAAAAAACTTTATAAAATTTTTATATATAAAAAACCAATTAGTTTTATCTATATTTTTAATATACATCGGTCTAATTTTTAGATTGCCAATTGATGTACCATCAGCATGTGCGATGTTTCCTCACGAGCTAGCGTACCAATCAGAGAGCCTTCTTCGTAACACATATACTAATATGATACAATTTAACCATCTACCGCGTGGAGGTCATTTTGCCGCATTCGAAGAACCGGGTCTCTTAGCGGATGATATCTTTGAATTTGTGTCTAAGGTTGAAGATGCAAGAAAAAAAGCTGATAACAAGGATATCCCAAATACAGGGAAGAAAATAAAAGAACCTACGAAAATTTGAAAGATAGCTACACTGAAAAAAATGCTAAAACTAAATTAATATATATTTAGTTCAATACTGCCAAATGAATCATTTATTTGAAACAAATAAATATTTATTTGTTTTGAAAAGGATTTTCTTATATCAAATAAATATTTTTCATATCAAATAAATATATTATTAGTTTCAAATGAATGATTTATTTGGCAGTACTGAAATAAATGCTTGTAAGAATTATATAAATTTTTTTTTCGGTGTATACTACACTATGCTATGTTAATTAAGGGAACAACAAAATTTATCATATTGGAAGCTAGATTTTTTGCTAGCAAAACCAGTATGTGGTGATATTTTTTATCCATTTTTGCACATGTAAAGATTTTTTAAATAAAATGATTGTTTTATAATTGTACATATAATGCTATATTCTCCATCTATAAATAATATATTTTTTGCTAACATTGCGATTATTTTTTCATAAACGTTTATTTATTAAAACTATTAATTATCGATAGAAGATGTAGAGCAAGACAAACAGATTATTCATTTCTCAATATAAGTCACAATAATACTCTTTCTTTTGTATAGGAAAAAAAATAATGATATAGAATAATCTTACATAAGATACATATATGTTTCTTATGTTGGATATATTTATAAAAATTGTAGAGAATAAATTCTTTTTTAGTCATTTTTTTCTTGCAAGAGGGATGGCTGCCTTTGATATATAAATACGCGGTTTTTCTTATTTATTTAACACTTGGAAATGAGATTTTCTGATCTATTCACAGGATGCGGTTAACTCTCACCAGGCGGCAAGTATAACAAAGGACCCTAAGAACGTAGAAGGGATACACCCTACCGAATTCCAAACGTGACGCGTGCAAGTACGATGAAAACAAGCCGTCTGCGTTAAATAGTTGTGCGGCATTCACAAATATTTAAATTGTTCGATCTCAGTTTAATTTTCAATATCATCAGATAAATATATCTTTTATATGAAAACCTTTTATATACATATAAATATATCTTTTACATATAAAAATTAAAAATATTTTAAAATCGAAAATTGTATATACTAAATTACGAGGAAAATATCATAAATAAATATGGAAAATATTTTCGTGAAACATTGAAGTAAAAGTTTACTATAAATTTCTAAATCCCTTTTTAAAAATATTTAGAAAAGAAATAAAAGATTAAGACAGGGTATAGAGACGAGATTTTTCGGCGGATATTTCATTGAAATTTTGACCCTAAAATTCTTTCTTAAAATATTTCTCAATTTCTTCAATGTTATTTTTCAATGACATTGCTGGAGGCATCCACTACAATGTCTCCGCATTAGTCAGAGTATACCTTAGATCAATTGGCTTAAAGAGCAAACGCATAGAAGAAAGCGAGAGGGATGAAAAGAAGGGATGTTATTTCTAGAAAATTTTGGGAGGGTTCCCGGACGGTCAGGCACACACGGACCTGACATAACAGAGACCGAAAGTCGTCAGTTGTTCACGGATTGTCGATGTGTAGACTCTAGCAAGAACTCATCGCGTGCGTTATAAGCTTATTTTTCTGATCGCGTTGTACGATCCGCCGCTGATATTGTTACGCAAGGCATCTTATTTGAAGTATATAACGCAACAAAAAACTTAAAAGATATCGGTTACCGACATTATACGTAGTAAATATAGATTTTCAATCAGAATCATATTTGCCATAATTAACGTATAATGTAATGAGACATCATATTGCAAGGTAAACAACAATTTTGTTTTATCCAGTCAAAAACATCCCTAACAGCACACATATCCCGAAGACGTTCAGAGAACATCCTGAGGATGTTGAATGTTCTCTGGATATTCTCTGGATATCCTCTGAATGTCTTTCGGATATGTGTGCTGTTAGAGATATTCTCGCAGTAGTTGCATATTAATAACATTGTGCATGCGTATTATTTTTGGCATATATGTGTATACGTGTTTCTTTATTTAAAGGAGAGAGTACCTAGTCATCTCGCGTGTGGTCTATGAAAAATTCCAGTTGGCGCGAAGACGTACGGCTGGAAACAAAAGAGTGACAATTGCATCGACCACGTGACGAGACAAAGTGCAAGACGCCGGCAAACTCTAATCATTTTGTTCCGGCGACATGACAGGCGAGAGGATGCGAGCAGAAGGGGAGCAGCCGACGACGATAACTGTTCACGCGGATGTTTACACGCAAGAAGCTCCGAGCACGTCTGAGCACGAGTTCAGGTGAATAAGATATATATGTATAGATATGTAAGCGCGCGATGTTACATTACATCGAGATTACGAAGTTCTCTGAGAACATATATATACATACATACATATAGTGGTCGAATCATCATTACGCCCACATTGCTGTTTGTCAAGGAAAAGAGGTAAATGAACTGTTCGACTTGACAAGACTACCAATAAGCGTTATAAGCCTGGCATGTAATCGCGAAAAAAAAAGAATTTTTAATATATCTTTTTTTAACTGACGGCACAATCTTGTCATGAAGCGGTTGCAATATATAAAGATAATAATTTGAAATATATATCACGTTGATTAAATTTGATTTCTTTCTTATTTCTTTTTTAAAAACACTTGCGTAGCGAAATATAAAAATAATTCGCATCAAAATATAATTTTTTGTCGACCCAGCTGTTATAAAGAAATAGATACGGAGCTCGTAGCTTTTTTAGCGAGCGTCTGCGAAATGTCACGTCAGTTCCAAGGTCTGCTCTGGCTAACGCGGAGACAATGTACGTGCAAAAATTTTCTGTCACGGTCTGTTTGACGTTTGTGGTCAACGATTCGGGGCCATGATGCGACGCGCTGCATAATATACAGGTATACACATTTTAATATTTCATATATATGCACCTATGTATATTCCCTTCCTTGTCTTTCGAGAGAACGCGATATCTCGTCCTCGGTGGTCAGCTTCAAATACCCGGGAGTGGTGTTATGTGTTTCCGAGACGAGCGCTTTGCGTAATATGACACGTGCTAACTCGACAACGCGAACGTGCGCGAATTTTCCGAGAAACTGAGGCTTACCTGGCGAACGAATCTCACACATGCTAAAATGGGATTTATTAAGAAACGATGAATTAACGAACCCGACTTCTCTCACGCGCATCTCCGATCCGGTGGTGAATAAGCGACGAATTTTGCGCGGAAATTTCTGCACGCGCGAATACGCGAGCGCGTCTAACAAATAGCTATTATAATTTGTACGAAATATATATACTCTCGTCGGGAGACGCGTTGGCATAGGAGTTCCAATTTTTTTATCCTCGCACGCTTCTCTCGCTTGCTTGAGAACCGGTTTCATATCGACCACGTTTACATGCGCGTCTCAAAAAGGAGGCGCGACGTGAACCGAGAAAGGAGCGCATAAGGTAAGATACGTTTCGGCGAAGCACAAATATACCTTATTTGATATTCGACAAAAATGAGAGAGAGAGAGAGAGAGATTTCAATGTAAAAATGTAACTAAAAAATCAAAGGAATGGATCGGAATTCTGACTGCTATATCGTAAAATTGCAACAATGTCATAAATTATATATAAATAAAATAAAAAGGCTGTCAAGATTAAAATTAAAAAAACTTAATTAAATAATGTATCATATACATTTATTAAATATTTAATATTCGTCATTCATTTTCGTTTTTAATTTTCATTTGCTTAATTTCCAAATAATTTTCTAATATCATTCAATTAATCGTATAAGCTTAAACTGCGGGAAAAAAATTACATTATGCACGAAATTAAATGTTTGGCGAGATAAAAATGTTCTTTAAATATCAATAAAGCAAGAATTTGAGGAAACAAATCTTTGCATGTTGTGAACTGCAATATACAAATAGTTGTGTGTATTTTAATCATTAAGCAAGTTTGTATATTCTTGGACTAATATGGCAGGTCGTGCAATTATCTTAAGAAAGAGAGATACCGAAATAGGAAGCGAGAAACATCATATTTGGAGAGAAAGTCGAGAGAAAAGAAAAGAATTTTAAGTAAATTTGTCTACTCTTAGCATGTATTATATTATATTTTCTCAGCGTACGATTCCCTATATACTTTTATCTTTAGTTAACGCAATGATATTAGTGACCCGTGCATATCAATAGAGATATTTACGCGAAGAAAAAACAAATTATAGCGAGAACAAAGTATTACAAAATCAATTTTATCCGACGACTGTCTTACAATTGGACGGTGACAAGATTACATTAAAATATAATTTGGTAAACAATGAGAAAGCGGATGAGTGATAGAAAAGCCGCTATTAATATATACATATTTTTATAAATATAATCCTATTAAAAAGACATTAATTTTGAATAATGAAGCTTGTGGCAAGATTTATTCAAACACTGTCAATAATATATATGTATATATGTGTATATATTGACAGATATCAGAGTGTTATTATTGAGTGGCAGAAATTCTTATTGGCTGACGAAAGTGTTCGCTTAATTTATATGTTAAAATATGCTCTGTCGAAACCGCTAATCTACATCCGATATATCAGCATGTTGTATCGGAAAATATTTGCATTACTCTCAATCTTCCTCGGTTCGCGTTTCAGAGAGTATCTCGCGATTCGGATTGAATTCCCTCGCTCTCGATCAGTTTTTCCGAGCTGAGTGAAACCGTATCGAGGCTTAAGAAAATTTTTGTTCACACAATTAAGATCAAGGATATCTCTCGATTGGTAAGCGAATTGCAAACTCAAATAATTAAGTGTGTACGCTACTCATCATGATTTAAACGCCAGTCTTGTATATATTATCATGATACTACGTTATGTAATAATTACGTGTAATATAATTGTCCTTTCCGGAGTCGCATTGTTAATGAACAACGAATCGAGAAGAGATTCGCGTGTAGATAACTGTTTTTATTCAAAAATTTGATCATTTATTTAATAGTGAACGCTCACACTCGTTCTCGGTAGACTTTGACAGAGTGAATTGAAAACATTCAACACGTGTTAAATGCGTGTAATAAATATAATCGGCCCCCAATTCACTCGCTCGTATATCCTTCACCGTCCACGTCATACGGCATTACGATACGTATACATTCACATACCTACACATTGTAAGCGTGTACAGTTATATGTTATACTCGATCGCGACTGGATCTTTCTCTGTTTTCAGTCAGTGACGCGGTTGCTTGTTGTTCGTATCGTGCGTAATTTTCACGTCATTTTCAAGTTTACCGTGATAAAATCGCGAAGGATTATACATCATCGTGCGATGACAAAATCAATTACTCGACGCGTATTAATAAAGCTTAAAGAGACGAACGTTCGTTAGATGAGTTTATACTAATATACAGTGTGCGTGTGACGAATCTTTGATATATCAAAAAGAGATATGTTTAAAAGGCACGGTAAATCGAACGGCCATGGCAGACCGAAAAAAGAGTCCAACACCAAGAAACATCACATTCGCACTTGGGTTCATACGACGAAAAAGAAACAGAACGAAGCTAACCTCTTGTACGTGTCTTACCCATATATATACTCTCGATTCTATCTAGTCTCATTCATCAAAATCATTCTTCCCTTCTCGCTGATCTCGCGCTTTTCATTCGCAATTTTCATCGAATTCGAGAGATCGAACCCTCCACAAATTTGGTCCTCCGTGACGCGTGAGAATTTAATCTGACGTCATTCATCGCGCGTTTCCATTGTCGTGAATCACGGCAACGCGTTGAAGATTGTTATTATACGTTTTCTCCGCGCCAAAAAAAAATCGAAAAAAATCTCACGATCGGTTTCAATTCACGCGGCAGTTTCTCTCGAAGTCTCGGGTCTTTGAGGACCTTGTCCTAACGTCTCTTTCATGTATGCGCGTACGCACGTTTAACGTAAACACGCATCCATGGCCGCGTGACCATCGTTCGAGATGCCTCGACATCCCAGTACGTTGTACAGTTTCGATCGTATCCGTCATCGATCGCGTTGATCGCGACCATACCAACGGCAAATCTCTGGTGCAATAGCGCTCACGTTGACAGTGTCATCGAGTGTAACGATGCGTTTTAAAAATCCGTTGTCGCAGCACGGGAGTTATGAGTAAGTCGAGAAGAAAAGGAAAAGAACGACCGGTGCCTTGTAGGTTAAGTCCTTTTGCCCTATTCTGTAATCCTATCACGTGTGTTCGCTTGGTCGAGCACGATTGCTTCGAGGAATTTTTCTTTTCGGTTCGGATTCGCCGAGGCTAACGATGAGTTTCGCGTCGACGAAAATAAAGGCAACGTGCAACCCGTATATTTTTTTATTACTTATATATTCGATATCTCTTATCTTATTCGATTTGTTTCGTGTTTATCATTCGTTTTACTACGTTGTAAAGGTTGTTTCTTCCTTTCTGTTCTCTTATACAATTGGTTATTTGATATTTTATTTAAGGGAATGTCCTTGATGTGGCGAAAGGAGTCCGCATTCTTAATTTTTTTTAAATTTATGCTAATCTAAGTTTAAAATTCGTACTTTTTATTCTACGATCAGTTAATGTGAGTATTGAATGAATTGTCGCAAAAGTGCAGAGATTAAGAAAAGTATTATTTATATTGTACGTAAAAACGTTAATATAATTTTGCAAGTGTATATACAAGTTAAATAGCTTTCAGCGAGGATCAAATAGACTGATAGAATATTATAACAATCTTCTTTGAATTCTGTGCCTCGATCAATACCCATACACAGGTTACTATTTATAAATACTTCGCGAGAGAAGAATCGTAAATACGATCTGGATTTCAAGACTATGTTTGTGGAAATCGGTCGCCTACTTTCTCTCGAATGACAATTTTTTTCACCGAATATCTACTTCACGAAACAAAATCTAATCATCTATAAAACTAAACGAAAAAATAACTTGAAATATAAAGTTTATGTTAATTAAAGTAGTACCAATTTTTTTGCAAATTTATTAATTAAAATAATAGGATTTTTTAAATCTTCGAACTAAGTAATTTACAAATTCGTATTTCTTGTTATTTTCAAAAATTATATTTTAATTCTTGTTTTTTGTTTATATAAATCATCTAGTTATATTATTATTGCCTTTTCTGCGAGAAAGTTTTTTTTTTTTAAATTATAGTTCGAATAACTTATTATTGATAAATTGAGAAATATTTTTATCCTTGATTTCGGAAATTAATAATTAAATTATACAAAACAGAATCTCTGTTAATTTGTTCATTTTCGTGCTCTCTAATGCATCGTATCGTATTAAGTCCCTATATACCTTAGTATACGGCACTGCTGTATAACACGTGTAAAACTCATCCAGGGTGGGATAGCATTCTCGGAGTTCAGATCAGACAGTTTCACGGCGACCGTTGACGGCGCGCGATTATAATACCGGTATACCTTTTCGCAAAGTCAGCGTTTTTGATTCAAATTCGTAGTTATACGTGCGGCGGGGTCTCGGTCATTTTGATATAAATAAAAGTGGTACACACATAGGACAGAATAATCATTAAAAATAAAGATTTAAAAACATTTTACGTGCATAAAAAATGGCACAATGATGATGTCTTGTGGCATCACACACATTAATTTTGAACTGTATGAAATCGTGTCATTATTAATTATTTTTTATTTACTAATCTAACTAGTTATCTTACAAGCAGATTAATTTTTAGTTGATAGGTGATAAGCTGCGAAATAAAAAAAAAGTACAAGTCTCTCCGGTGTAGATATATAGGCGAACTAATTATCCTGGCAAAACTTGGAGTTACTATAAAAAATAATAGAATATTACTGTCTTGCATAACATTGTGTTGCGGAAGTGTGAGTACCGTGACAGCTATTTACATTTGTCGTCCGTGTGCTGCACGCATAGTTTAATGTATCGATTCGGTGCACATAATGCATAATACTAGGAAAGCCTTCTAGTTATATCACGAAATTTATTTAAGAAATTTGAATTTTATTGATTAGAAATTCTATTAATTTTTAGTGTCGTTACTTAATCACCAGCTGCTTAATTTAATTTACATCTTTTATGTCAGCAAAGCTATAATGTATGCACGTTGCACATTACTGATTATCACCGTTGAATTTTGTCCACAGGTCTCTTCAGAGCATATTTATATATTAACTATTTATATATTAAAGAGTATGTATATTAACATCTGTTATAAAAAACAGTAAAACCGCATCAGAAGTTTCTTATAAAATCACGTTATCATTTTCAATGTTATCACGTTTTACTGATTATCGTACGAGATTTTGTTACTTCAAATGGTCATTGAAAAAAATATTGACATAATTGAAACTACTTTGTCATTTTATAAGCGTTATTGAAGTATTAAAAATAATCGTGGTTTTTTATTTAAATATTAAAAAAAATATATTGTGGCAATATATCACAAATCTCGTTATTAATAATTTTACTTACGTAATTTAATTTTAAAAGTTAATGTAATTTAATTGTTTTAGATAAAAATAATATAATCTAAATATATATTTTATTTAATTTTCTGATGTAATATCACAGCGCAGAAAATAATTTTATAAAAAAAACGCGTTCTGATTATTCTGATAAGCACAAAGTAGAACAATCAGCGCGTAATCGTAATTCTATCGTCGTTTCTATGCGTGGAAAAACGAACGTTACGCATTGACTTTGCAAAATAGCTTTTGTAGAGAATGAAATATTTCTCAGCTGCTTTGTAGAATACAGCTGCAGTTTTCTCCAGATTTGACCTGGAGCGAATACAATTGACACAAAGGGACCCCCTAACATTCTTGCCTAGCTAAAGGTCTTATGTATGGTTGTGTCACATAGTTTTTCTCATATATTGAAGAAAACTTTTCTCCTCTTTCTAAAATTAAAAAGAAAACGATTGAAAGATCAGTGTTCCTCGTTTGAATTTTTTGTGATAATCCGAAATTGTTAATTTCTAAATTATGCCAATCGAGTTTATTTTTTATCATAATATATTTTTCAATAAACTCATTCAATTTTTCGTTTAACTTATTTTTAGAAATTACAAATAATTTTATATTTTATTATTTATTTTAATAAAAATTTTAATTCGGACGAATTGAAAACTTAACACATATGTATATCTTACAACATCTTTTAAATAAAATCAACGACAAGAAAAATCTCAATTGCATAATAATTGGCATCTATTATTTTTAACAAAACTGTTAATGTTTATTATGTAAGAACCAAATATTCTTAAAGTGACTTTAGATATTCTAATAATATTTTCTATTTTTAACGAAGAAAGAGGAGAAAGGATGGACGGAGAAATGCTCTTCCTCGAAAGAAATCAATTGCGCGTCGTTATATTAATCAAATTTCAATGGGGAATACGATATGCAACGTAGGTCCAGTTAACGTTCATTAGTCTTTATTAGTCGACAAAATGACGGTGGTATTCTACTAATGTTCTCCACATGCTCGAGACTCGATCAATTGAGATGTAATCGGCGCGAGTGATGCATCAGATGCGACGCAAGTCACGTATATGCGATCGTAAACGTAATAAGCCTTTTATCATATGGAAGGTTTTCCGTACGATGTTTACACAAACGCGTGCATATCAAAAGGAACGCACAATTTAGCTCTAAATCGTAAGCACACATTTGATAATTTCTCACAGAGTAAAATGAATTCTTTTCGCAGTTGCTCAACGTATTTAAAAGACGAAAGGTGATTAGATTAGATGGACTAGATGAAAATTATATGACACGAAACGTAAGAGTGCGATAGGAGTATAGTGTTTCGTGAGACGAGAATATAAGTGCAAACGATAAAGTTACAAACATTTCTCACACGCAACAAAGATTGGACTTGCGAAACATGTTGAAACAGGTGTCATTTTATTCTACCCTAACCCCGGAGGAGAGGGCTCGAACGCACCCTTTTAAGAAGACTAGATGGTAGGTTCGCGAAGGATTTTGCGAAAGACGTACACCTCAAGATACTCATTCTCTCATCGTCTAATTTTATTCCGTCCAGCGAATCTACATATTCAAATTACGACAGAAATGTATTTCGTAAAAATCTAACATTCCTATTAAATGTTCCTAATAATCCGTCTAATCGGAAATTGAATATAAAGCTTCCGCTGATTTAACTCGCTTTTCTCAAGAACTTCAGAAAAAATGAATTATATTAATCTGAATTTAATTTCTTTTTTTTCTCCACTCCCAATTTGAAGATTATCACCCATATTTTCTTGCAGTTCTTAGTCAAAGTGAATTAAATCGTGTTTCGCTTGTTTCAGCGTGATAATGTCCTCCGGAGAACCATCACCTCCGGCGCAACCATCGATATCCACGACGAGTTTCGATGAGCTGGACGACGCGAGACTGGTCAATACCACTCCTGTAACGTCGCAACCAGCGAAACCCAGCGGAGACATCACAGACACCGAGGCGATAGAGGAAGCAGTGCCGATCGTACAGAAGACTTTACCCGTGCCGCAGTCGAAACCAGAGATCGAGAGGAACGGTCTCGACGTCGATACGAAGAAGTCCCCCGACGAGCAGGACGTTTCCTGCCTGATCAATTGCATTTACTACACACAACAATGCTGCGATTGCACGATAGTCTGAGACCGTTAGAGGTCCTTAGTTAAATAATGGAGCCAGGAGCGTCTCGCGATTTCTCCTCGATTTTACTTTTCACGAGATCTCGAGGGGCGCTCCTCTCTTTCCGGCGAAAAAATTTAAAATCTGATTATGCAATAATAAGTATCGCGCGCTGTGAGGATATAACTTTGTGATATACGAGAGAAGTAGGAGGAAATCCTCGCGGTGTGTGACATGTAGAAAATTTTATAAATAAATATATGAAATATTGCGCGTAACGCTCGCAGTTACAACCCAAGATTTGGATGCTGTCGTATAATATTTCGAGCACCCGTTAATCGATCAAAAGCGATCTAAGAAACACGAGTAAATAATTAACTTATTTTTGAGAGCACGCTTTAGCGTGAGGTTTATCGTATATAATTGCAAATATGCACTGCCACTGTATCACGTGATCGTGGTAAACCGTAATGGTAAGTCGTAAAGAATGCGTCGAGAGATATTACAAAAGTCAGTTATTAGTTCATAAGCACATTTTTCCGCATATGTTATAGAACAAATTATTTGCTATACCCCTTATCATGTCTTCCTTAAAACCTGAGGTCAATATTAATGACACGAATTTAACAGTATTAATCGCGACAATCGTCTGAAACACGACAGGCTTGTGTCTGTCTATAATTTTGCAAATTTGCAAGCTAAGAGAATCGATCTGTAGCATGTAAAGAACGCATATATATATATATATATATATATATATATATATAAATGACGTATATAAGTTATCTTTCGTTTTTTTTCCGGCAACGGAATTGACATTACAATAATATCTTAATTGAAAATTGCACAGAGAAAATCTAAATGATTGAAAGTGGCAGATAGATTGCCGAACATTTTCGGACAGGCAATTGGTGCGATTAATTGATTTTTAACGATACAATTGATAAATTGTAATTGATCGCGCTAATTGATTTGAACTGTTCAGATTTATCTCAGTCATTAAAATAATATCAAACAGCATTCCTGTACGTTCATATAAGGATGCATTTATTACAAACAAAGAATAATTCCAGATTTTTTCTTTAATGCGCCAGTAATTATAGAAGTAGTAGTATTTCTATAGCGCAGTTGATGATTAAATCGAATTTTATTTTATACAATCTTAGTACATTCATTTAATTTATTTGCCTCTACCACCTGATAGTATATCCTAGTATTTCACGATTTTAATGTCTCTATTTGTAGATAATATTAAAAATATAGACACAATGATTTAAATATTTGCTTTTTATATTTTCTAACAACATAAATTTCTATCAAGATTGTGATTTAATCATCGCCGCGCTGTATTAATGGTTCGATAGTTGCAAACATATATTTCCTAATATTTTATATAAATATTTATATAAATATATATGTAAAAATATAATTATATAAATATTTATAATCGAAGATTGCAAGTATACAATGTAATTTATTCATAGATGAGGACTAGATTATTTTTGTAATATTATAACATACGAATTTAATGCGAAGACTGCATTAAATATTTTTTTTGTATGTATCATGAATACATTTTTAAAAATGATGTGCACAACTAAAGTTCGAAGTTTTGTGAAAAGAATATATGGGTAAGTACAATATGTGCTAAAAAAAGGTTTGTCTATTTTTATTATCCACACAATAAGTAGAAATCAATAATCTATATATTTTCAAAATTTTCAATTGAAAATCTAAACTATTAATAGCATCTATTATTGATTTGCCCATATTTTAGTATAGTATAGAAGCAATTAAAAATATGCAATTAAGCATATTGATTAATTCATTTGAAATCATATTTTAGTAATAACGAATCGAAGATATTCATAATATATTACATCTTTAATTTTTTATAGAACTGAAAAATGCTTTGCAATTTAATTTCTAATATTTGTTCATAATTAATTAATTAATTAATTAATTATTGAACAAAATGTTCTAAAAATAATCATTTACTGTATAACTTCAAATCATCTGTAATTTTTTGCCATAATACTTGACGGTTAAGTAAATTTGTAGTTATTTATATATAATCTTATTTTCTCTCTAACAATAAGAGAGTATTATTACGTGGCGAGAGCTCGAAAAATTTAAGGAACTTTTATTGTAGGAATAATGATTAATTAGCAGAAACGATTGATAACTGGCCATTTAAAAAATTAGTAAATATATTAATTAAATGATTTTAGAATAAAAAATTCAAATTTTATACGATTGTGCGCGTTACGATTCGTATATAGGTAATGGATGACCTTCTGAATTGAATACCCACTTATCCAAATCAATTAATTGTCTAGTGTCATCGAATAACAAGTACAAGTATTTTAAAGTTTCGGCGAACCAAAAACTTTCCGTCATATCTTGTTGACGGGTTTGTTGAATATTCCGGACGTTTCCAATACTTGTGTAGCCATTTTCGACTTTGGTATAATTCTCAAAAGCCTATGGAGATGTGTTTCACGTTAGATACATGTAAAAGTATTCCGAGGAGAGTTATGTCACTCAACTCACCTGAAATATCTGCCAACCCCAATCTTGATAAGTTTTATTTCCCGTCAAGTACCACATATAAAATAGACTCTCAATAAACTCGGGTCTCAGTAAATTATGAGCATCGTTCGTTTTTACGTACATATCCATTTGATTATCACCCTCCACTTTCTACAGAAACAAGTATTGCTTATGAATCTTTTTTTTATAGTACACGATAAAAATAATCGATTCTATTTTATATTTTTATATCGGTTCTGCTTTTTATTCGAGTCAATATGAATTTTTTTCTCAAACTTACTTGTATATTAAAATAAGTGATCTCGGGCGCGAGGAACGTTGGTTGAATTGCGTATGTTTGATAACAAGTCTTAACTATTTCTTCCGCAAGAGTATTATGTGCTGGCAACAGTCCATGATGCGCGCCTAATGCTAAAGTACCTCCCAAATAGCATGTAAGATGATCCTACAATACAAATTTGCACGATATAGCGTTATAAAAACGCAATATAAATTTTTCTGACTACTTTTCATCTAACAATAAGTTATTTACCATTTTTGGTTTTATTTCTTTGTTGACGCCGACCAATTCGGCGATGAATAAATATTTATTGACTGCTGTATGTTTAACGAGATGTTTTTGCGTTCCAGCAATGCCTAACAAGTAATCGTCCCGTAAACTAAAAAAAGAAATATTAACAATGGAATATTAATTGATAGAATATTCCGGATGATAATAACTTCTTGTGTAAAATATATACTAACTAGTCTATAGTTTTTCCAGTTTGTAACCATTGTTTTAATAAGTATTCGTAATAGCTATCGCCACGAGCTCCTAATGTAATTGTTGCGTACTCTCGAAACTGGCCGGTATTAGCATTAATAAAGATTGGAACTAAGCCATCGTATTTTTCTAATTTATGTACATGTTCGGAAACTTTTGTGACTGCAGCCTGAAAAATAATAAATTAGATATCTGCTGTATAAACTGCTTAAAAGATCACTACGATCCTAAAATATTACCTCAAACTTAGGTTGCCCTGTACTACGACTAAGATCACGAAATTCCAATTGAATCGAAGTAACTTCGCTCGTGCTACTATCAGGCCCCCATTTGGGGCTATGCGCACTTCTCGTACCAAGATTCACATCGGAATATGGAACACCTGATCTAGTAGAAAATGCTGGCATCATGCGATCACCTAAATCCATCTTGAAAACCGTCATTGAGAGATTAATACTTAATTAAGCTAGGGGATTTTATCAAAATAAATTAATTAAAATTACTTTAGATGCATTACTTACAGCCTTATTTAAGAAGAGTATATCACCAGAAAGATGATACGCTGCTAATAAACCACCTAATACTCTAATTGTAACTTCAAATAAATTAACATCCCTATTCAACGTAAATACTAAACTATTTTCTACCCATTTCCTTGCCTTGGAAAATTCTAAAACACAATGGAAGAAAATTGTTTCTTTTTTCACTATCAATGGATATCTTAAAATTTAATTCATCGCTATTCATACGCACCATCATTTAATCCCATAATATATATAGTATCCAACGAGTCTACTATCGTAAGACCTAAACCAAACCATTCATGATATCTCCTTGATATTGGCTTGATATTATCATGACCCCAAGCATATTTCTTATAACCATCCCAGGAGTGCTTAAAAGCAGCTACAACAGCTTGTTGCCTACTATTTTGTGGACCTAAAAAGCCCGAGTTTTATAACTTATGTCTAAGTTATTGTAATCTAATCTAATTATATGTATACATAATTATTCTTCATGAATTATAATCATATATTTATATATACACAATTCTCCGTGAACTATCTACCATTAAATTTGAGTATGTTTGGCTTTGGCTGTGGTGGTTCACCAATTTGATCATCATCAACTTGATTAATTTCTGGTTGAAATTCTGGCTCCTCAATCACTTCACCAGGTCCAGCACCTTGTTCATCATTATCTACAACAACTTCATCGACTGCCTGTGCGAATAAAAAAGGATTCGATATTGTTTTTCGACATGGATTCTAAACTTTTCTCTTATAACTATGTACCTTTTGATATCTGGCAGTTTCTTGTACAACTTCTACATTATTATAGTCTACCTCGTCAGAGGTAGCAACTTTGGTTTCGTTAGGTAAGAGATAAAATATTACAAGTAAAACTGTGATAACTGCAAAGTATAGAATATTTCTCTGAAACCTGGATAACTGATTCCATTGCTAAAAAAGAAAGAGCAGTCAAGTGAGGAGTACAGAAAATATATAGTATAGAGATGTGGCATAGATTAACAATGACAAACACAAAATCTAACGATAAGTATATACCTATATTTTTGTTTAGATATATACGTACCCTCCATAAACTGCGCGAAGTGCCCCGTGCAAAGGACGAGCTATCGCTATGAATATTTAAACTAATATACTCCGATTTACCCGAGTCTCTCGGCGAGAACATATTCTCATACAGGTTAACTTGTTCCGGCACGTGCGGAAACTCGTCGTGTTGCCAGAATATTCAATGCACAACACTGCGACGAATCAATCAAACATGCGTAATTCCTCATTTATACAAATTTTTATGAATATAATGTATAACCACGTTTTTACATTTTCGTTAAATTTATTTTATTGCTTTGTAACGTATACCCTGCGCATGAAGCAGATGGCGTTCATGTTCTCCATATGTGTGCTTGTCATACGTGTGTAAGTGTGTGTGTAAATTTCCATAAACTCGTGTGTACCCGAAAAACTTTTATTTTTTGCAGAGAAAGAACGAATGCGATATTATTATGACATTTTAATGTTTAATTGGTTTTAAAAAAAGGACTCAAAATGCAATCCTCAATGTGCCTGTCAAATATATCCGGCATCCCGGATAAACATTGGCAACCACCCTTCGTTGCCTTCGAGACTACGTAAGTAAATCGTCTGATTTCTAACTTAAGATTACCTAATTAATCGATTTGAATGCTTAGGATGGGTGAAATAACCTTCGAGTTATATTGGAAACACGCCCCCATCACGTGCAGAAACTTCGCCGAGCTCACGCGACGTGGATATTACAACGGTACCAAGTTTCACAGGATCATCCGTGACTTTATGATTCAAGGTAGTACATTTAAAATATATAATGAGACATTTATGCAATATTTTAATTTATATATCTCATATTTTTTTAGGTGGAGATCCTACTGGGACAGGAAAAGGTGGGATGTCCATATATGGCGAATGTTTTGACGATGAGATACATGATGATTTGAAGCATACAGGTGATTTAAGTTATTTGGAATCGATAAATGATTAACAATAGTTTCAATTAATGATGTAAAAAAAGTATTTGGAATTTTAAAAAATATAAATTAATTAAATATATGTTATTTACAAATTTGTATATATTTAAAATTTATATTAAAACTATTATTATTAAAATTTATATATATTATTAAATATCGATGTATACAATATTGAAATATTTCCAGGTTCTGGAATATTATCGATGGCAAATTCTGGACCGGATACAAATGGATCACAATTTTTCATAACGCTTGCCCCTACACAGTGGCTCGATGGAAAACATACTATATTTGGTAAGTTGCAGCAATTTAGCTGCATCTTTTAATAATTATAATTCAACTATTTATCACACATCTATAATGCATATTCTCAAATATTTTTATATTTACTCAACAGGTAGAATTCATTCTGGCATGACTATAGTTAAAAGAATTGGACTAGTTGAGACAGATAAGAATGATCGACCTGTAGATGATGTTAAAATTGTAAAAGGTTCTGTGAAAAATGCTTGAATTTTTATAAGAAAATCTATAAGTACACATTTTTTTTCTAAATGTAACATGTGTTCTTTTTATGGAATGAATATTTCTTTCCATTTTATATTCTGTACCTGTCATTTTATTACGTATATAAAATACAAAAAAATATGGGAAGAAATTTGTAATTATTTATATGTAACTTGCAATCTTCGATTAATACTATAATTGCAGCTGCAGAAAGTATGAAGGTTTTATATAAATCATTTATATTTCACCTAACCTAAGAAAAATAGCGCGTTTGTCGTCGGTAACAACGAATAAAGAACAAGTTTGCTGCAATGGTAAAAGCACTGTTTTACCGACACCGAAAATTATCGACAGCGCAAGATAATATCAAGTAAAGTAAGCACTGACCATTCGACGACCGTTGTTTATTTCTCGAAGATACCTCCCCCACTTTCTCCTTCCATGATTCCAGGAATCCTATGAGCTCGTTCTCCCTCTCTCTCTTTCTTTATCCTCACTATTCACTTTGTAGCGCGTTATACGCTATATATATGCACTGCAAATATGCACTTGTATATTTCACTGAACACTCGCGACGATGATGCGAATTACGAGGCGAAATTCGCTTCCGGAGCACGAAAAATACGGAAATAATCGCGATTTCGGTCGTGTTTCCCTCTCTCTCACTCTCTCTATATCTTCACTATACACCTTTTTAGCGCGTTTTGTGCTATATTTACGCATTGTACTGCATATTCCGCTTGATATTTGCGACAATAACGCGAATTTTGGGCGAAATTCGCCTTGGAAGTACGAGAAATACGGGAATAATCGCGGTTTCAAAGTACGCCGGCCGATGGAGGAGAGGCATATTTACACTGACCGATTATACGCGATGCCGATGCACAATTAACCGCGATATTTTCCACCCCACGGACGCGCGATACTTCACTCGGCACTCCCGACGACGGTACGCGCGCGAAAATTCACTCTTGACGAGCGAAATCCGCGAGAAAGCCCGGAGCGACTTTTCGAATCCGACCGTGTCGCGCCGTGAGCCGCTCCGTTACAGGGATGCCTCGAGCCGCTTGCGATTCTCGAACCGACGATGCCCCTCGCGGCCAGCCAATCACAGCGCTCGCCTCGGCGTAGCGAGGCTGCCATTGGCGGAGAGTTCGAGACCCGCTTGCGATTCTCGAAAGTATTCGAGACAGCCAATCAGAATGTTCGGCTCGCTTTTCAAACATCATGGTGTGATAAAGAGACAATAAATAGAGAAAATAAAAATAACGAGAGTCGGAATATACTCGATACGTCGAAATAATCGCGTGAAAAGGGAAGTGAGAGATTATCGTAGCTTGACTGATGCATTTTCGGGGGAGATTAAATATTTTCGAGAGAATTAAATATTTTCTGAGAATATTCAAAGAATCTTCCCTCCACCCTCCCTTTCTTTCTCCTCCTCGCTTTCGCGCCAAAAAAATCATCTACGATATACGTGATTGATGTAGCTTCACATTTACTGTAGGGAGAAGAAACACGCACTTTGTACCAAAATTCATTAACGCGATGTCAAAATCGCGGAAAAATACGCCACTGATTTTCCGAGTCCCCGGCTGTTACTTGATCGAGCCTGCAAGAGAATTCTCGAAAATGGACGGGTGGGAGTGTGGAGTGGCTCGACGGCGACGAGCCAATCACAGCGCTCGAACGACGCTAGGCGCGCGTCACGTGATCAGCTCGCGGCAACTTCGCGGTGCTCCTCAGTTGTTGCTCGCCGGCTCGTCGTTCGCGTTTCTCGATCCGTTCCGCGTTCATTTCGTCGTTTTATCGCGTCGAAGGCGAGTCTCGCGTGTGAATAACTGCCGAATCGAGTTACGAGTGATCGGTTTTGCGTATCAGTCGACCGGGACGAGCGCGATTACGCGTATCTTCAGCGATCGGAGTCGTGTCGGGAAAGTCGATTGTAGTTGTAACAATGGCGTTGAAGTATTCGCGACTACTCGCTCTTAGTCGGAAGTGAATCTCGCGAGTGAACAAGTGCCGTGTCGAGCTACGAGTGCTCGAGTTAGCGTATCAGTCGACCGGCAAAATTGAGTGTGATAATGCGTATCTTCCGCGATCGGAATCGCGTCTCGTCGTGTCGGGAAATGTCGAACGGTGTAATAGTAAACATGGCGCAAGTGAAGTAATCGCGTTTCTTTGTCTTGTCGAAAGTGAATCTCGCGCGCGGACAAGCATCGGGAGTGAATCCGGACGAATTATGGGGGACGATTTTATCCTAATTTCAGTCGCCCGATTTAATTATCCGATAATCGTCGTGTCGTGTCGGAAACGCATCGAACGGTGCAAGTATAAAAATGGCATAAATAAATTCGCTTCTGTCTGCTTGTAAGAAGCCCAAAATTGTGCCTCGAACTTTTGCGAAATTCGGGACTTTCAACATGGCGGTATCCGAAAAATTTTATTACGCGAATTGAGGCCGGTAAGATAGATATGCCGGCTTCTATCCGCGAGCTTACCACCCGATCGTTTCGTTACCGTCATTCGACTCCGCTAGATGGCGGCTGGATGCGCGTCGCGACGACTCCGCTGTCTGGCCCCATGACGTCACGGGCCAGGCGTGCGTGGAGATTTCGCAAGAGGGGCCTAGTGCTTGGAAGCTGGCCCGGTGTGCCGACGCGAACCGAGTCGTCCCGGATACACGCGACGCGAAATGCGAGTGAGTTAACCTAAAAATGGCCGAGTCGTGCGACCAATCGGTGATAGTGTCAAGTGCAGTGGTGATAGGACTTGGTGCTGTCTCCGTTCACGGACAACAGCTGACGACCGTTCCGGAGGTACCTGACACCCAGGAGAGCCAGGATTCATCCGCTCGTACCGGTACGTAAAATTTCCCTCTATTGAACGAGTATGCGAAATTTACATCCCGACTACATTGAAGTTCCGTCGTAATTCTTATAAGAATTCCAGCTTCCTTCGTAAGTGCTTTGGAGTTCTTTGACTGATAATTATAAGAGATCCGTTGATTAACTTTTTAAATTGCATCTTAACTAATTTAAATTGCGTTTATAAAATCGAGTGCCAGCGTCACACTCAAATTAAAATAAAAATTTTAAAAATATTAGGACATACTAAATGTACATATATATAAATATATAGTTGAAAGTTTTAATACCAATGGTAGTTTAATTCGTAAAGATCTTATCTCTCTTCTAATTAATAACAGTAAATTCAGTATTGAGAATGAAACCAAAGCATATCCCACTATTTACATAATAGTGCATTATTCATATGACTGTTTTACAACATTACATGTCATTTAAATATATATTTTAATGTCTCAGTATTTCTCTTTGAACTTGATACTCGATATCAGAGAAAAAACAATATCTTATTATTCTTTTATTTCAAATTCGCATATGCGAATACGCGTATGATGGAACTCTCGATTCGTAAAAGATAACAGGAGAGGGAGCAGGGAAAGGAGTCAGATCGTAACGTTACGCACCTGTTCGTGCCACTTGTTGCATGGTCGAGTTCGACATTCGACATTCAAATGAAAACGACAACGGAGAGCCACGCGAACATGATAGAGCACTGCGCGAGAAATAGACAAAACGTCGATGAGAATCCCATAACGGTCTTTTTGGCAAGAATCTTTTCATAAACAGGTCGTCATTATCGATAGTCTCCTCTTATGTGACTACGTGTTAAACTATGTGAATCTTTTCTAAGTTCGAATAGCCTTTAAGCGAAGATAGATCGATGTCGATCTTAAAGCAGAAAAATGACAAGTACCCAACTTTAAGATATTTCACATCCGCATGCACAATCTTTTTAGAATCGTTTGTAGATGTTTATAGTGATTTTCATTTCGTTGCACTGTTTAGAATTTGCAATTGTTTAAAAAAATGATCAATATTGAAACTTGTCAATCTTAAAGGTTTTCCATATCTACTTTTTCTAAGTGATATGGTCTCATTTCTAGTTATTTCTAGTATTCGAAATTGAAATTTACATTGAGGAAAAAGCAGATTTCACAAATTTTTAAAATTGACAAAAATCACTTTTGACAATTTTTTTTAAACACTTGTAATTTTTAAACCGCGCAACTGTATAAACGAAACGAAAATCACTACAAACAACTACAAGTGATTTTAAAACAGACTGTGCAGTCAAATTTGAGATATCTTAATGGTGAGTGCTGATCATGATTTTAATTAATTTTATTTTTTAATTGAATAGAAACGAAATGCTATTATTATTCGTAATAAAAAAATTAATTTTTCAAAGTCAGGTGCCAGATTTATGTAGGTAATGCACGACTTTTCTAAGTTCGAATAAATCTTTAAGCGGAGATAGATCAATGTCGAGCTTAAAGCGGAAAAAGTATAAGCACCCAACTTTAAGATATTTCACATCCACATGCGCAGTCTTTTAGAATCGTTTATAGATGTTTACAATTATTTTCGTTTCGTTGCACTGTTTAGAATTTGCAATTGTTTAAAAAATAATCAATATTGAAACTTGTCAATCTTAAAGGTTTTCCATCTCTGCTTTTTCTAAGTGATGCGGTCTCGTTTCTAGTTATTTCTAGTATTCGAAATCGAAATTTATATTGAGGAAAAAGCAGATTTCAAAAATCTTTAAAGTTGACAAAAATCACTTTTGATAATTTTTTTAAACACTTGTAATTTTTTAAACCGCGCAACTATACAAACGAAACGACAATTACTACAAACAACTACAAGTGATTCGAAAAGAGACTGCGCAATCAAATTTGAGATATCGTAATGCCGAGTGCTGATCATAATTTTAATTAACTTTATTTTTTTAATTGAATAGAAACGAAATACTATCATTATCCGTAATAAAAAATTAATTTTTCAAATTCAGATGCTAGATTCATATAGATAATGCGCGACTTTTCTAAGTTCGAATAAGTCTTTAAGCGGAGATAGATCGACATCGATCTTAAAGCGGAAAAATGAGGAGCACTTAACTTTAAGATATTTCACATTCGCATGCGCAGTCTCTTTTAGAATCGTTTGTAGATGTTTATACTTAGTGATTTTCGTTTTGTTTGGAGTTGCACTTTTTAGAATTTGCAATTGTTTAAACAAATGGTCAATATTGAAACTTGTCAATCTTAAAGGTTTTCCATCTCTGTTTTTTTAAAGTGATGCGGTCTCATTTTTAGTTATTTGTAACACTCGAAAGCGAAATTTATATTGAGGAAAACGCAGATTAAAAAAATCTTTAATACTGACAAAAATCACTTCCGACAATTTTTTTGAACTATTGTAATTTTAAAACCGCGCAACTACAAACGAATTGATAATCAATATAAGCAACTACAAATGATTCTAAAAAGGACTGCGCACAGTCAAATTTTATTCATTAACTTTGTTTCATTCCGAATTTCAAAATATCTGAGCAGATTTAAAATGTAAAAATCTTGAATAAAATTCTTTTTATCACGCTTCTTAATACACAGTCTATTGCAAAGAAAATATTCGAATGTTCACCTCTCGAATATTCTTTTTACGATTGAATAGTTAGGTAAAAGAAACGCGACATAATAAATTTTATTAAAGACTTATTTCTAAAAGTATTTTCTATTAAATGGGTAGTCGAAAAATTTAATTAAAGATGTTTAAAAAAACATACTTTTGAATATTTTTCTCACAATTTATCAAGTGAATATTATTATCATTATTTACATTATATATTATTATTTGCTTCTTATTCATAATTTCACTTGTCGCAACAATCTTTGTATGCTTTTGCATTGAAAAAAATAGGGAATAATATTACGGGATAAATGCACATATATCCAAAAGCTACAAAAAATCGCGTTGGAATGCAGTATATTAATATTTAAATATCTTTATTAACATTATATATATTAAAAATTTGTTATTCAATAATCATGCATATAAGAGAAATTTGTATATTTGTGCAAATAAATTTCTTTCTCTTTCTCTCTCTCTCTCTCTCTTTAGCGACAGCATTCACTTGATTTTATC